CTTCGCCGCTGTTAACCACAACAAGCGTGATGAGATCTTCACCCTTCTCGACAAGCTCGAGGTCGTCCTCACCAACGATGAGAAGGAACTCGAGGGCAAGGCCCTCCTCAAGCTCATCATGCGCAAGTTCTTGCCTGCCGCTGATGCCCTTCTGGAGATGATCTGTATCCACCTTCCTTCCCCCGTCACTGCCCAGAAGTACCGTGCCGAGACTCTCTACGAGGGTCCCACTGACGACAAGGCCTGCATCGGTATCCGCGACTGTGACCCCACTGCTCCTCTGATGCTTTACGTCTCCAAGATGGTGCCCACCTCCGATAAGGGTCGTTTCTACGCCTTCGGTCGTGTTTACGCTGGTACCGTCAAGTCCGGTGTCAAGGTCCGTATCCAGGGTCCCAACTACGTCCCCGGCCGCAAGGAGGATCTCTTCATCAAGGCCATCCAGCGTACCATTCTCATGATGGGTCGCTTCGTTGAGCCCATTGAGGATGTCCCCGCCGGTAACATTGTCGGTTTGGTCGGTGTCGATCAGTTCCTGCTCAAGTCCGGTACCCTCACCACCGATGAGACTGCCCACAACATGAAGGTCATGAAGTTCTCCGTCTCCCCCGTTGTGCAGCGCTCCGTCGAGGTCAAGAACGCCCAGGATCTGCCCAAGCTTGTCGAGGGTCTCAAGCGTCTCTCCAAGTCCGACCCTTGTGTCCTGACCATGATCAACGAGTCTGGCCAGCACATTGTCGCCGGTGCCGGTGAGCTCCACCTCGAGATTTGTCTTAAGGATCTCGAGGATGACCACGCTGGTGTTCCCCTCCGTATCTCCGACCCCGTCGTCGCTTACCGTGAGACCGTCGCTGGTACCTCCAGCATGACTGCTCTGTCCAAGTCGCCCAACAAGCACAACCGTCTGTACATGTCTGCTCAGCCCATCGAGGAGGATGTCTCCCTCGCCATTGAGTCTGGCAAGATCAGCCCCCGTGACGACTTCAAGTCTCGTGCCCGTGTCCTTGCTGACGAGTACGGCTGGGATGTCACCGATGCCCGTAAGATTTGGTGCTTCGGCCCCGACACCACCGGTGCCAACCTGCTCGTCGACCAGACCAAGGCCGTCCAGTACCTCAACGAAATCAAGGATTCCGTTGTCTCCGGTTTCCAGTGGGCTACCCGCGAGGGTCCCGTTGCCGAGGAGCCCATGCGTTCCGTCCGCTTCAACGTCCTCGATGTTACCCTGCACGCTGATGCTATTCACCGTGGTGGTGGTCAGATCATCCCCACTGCTCGTCGTGCTCTGTACGCCGCTGCCATGTTGGCCGACCCCGGTCTCCTCGAGCCCATCTTCAACGTCGAGATCCAGGTTCCCGAGCAGGCTATGGGTGGTATCTACGGTGTCCTCACCCGCCGCCGTGGTCACGTCTACACTGAGGAGCAGCGTCCCGGTACCCCTCTGTTCATGGTCAAGGCTTACTTGCCCGTCAACGAGTCATTCGGTTTCCCTGCCGATCTCCGCTCCGCTACCGGTGGCCAGGCCTTCCCCCAGTCCGTCTTCGATCACTGGAGCATCCTCCCCGGCGGTTCTCCTCTCGACCCCACCACCAAGCCCGGTCAGGTCGTCCAGGAAATGCGCAAGCGCAAGGGTCTCAAGGAGGTCGTTCCCGGTTACGAAAACGTAAGTCTTTTTGCTCACTATCTTTCTTGGTCTCAGACACTAATCTCGTTCTATAGTACTACGACAAGCTGTAAAAATGTTCACGGTCACCCAGAATTTCCCTTCTGCCAGTCATTCGTGGAATCTTTCATGAGATTGATGAATTCAATACAATTTCTTCGGTTCAACAAAATTTTATTCCCTCATTCGTCGGTATTTGCTTCGATCGTTCCGTCTTTAGAAATCCGGGCATGAGCCTTGAAGCCTCTGGGCATCATTGGTTCTGTTCTTTCATTGCTGTTTCTACATTTGCTTTTTACCGAGGGTCTTTTTGCTTTTTTTTTACGTTTTTGCTGTAGTCTAGCAACCAGTTTCGATATGAAAATAAAACTTGGGTATGCTAGGCACAGCTGTTATTCCGTAGAGGTTATATGAGTAATTGTAAAGATCAGAAAGCGAAAAGCAGGACACAAAATGATCGCAATCCCCCATAGAAACAGTATTGTCCTATGTAATAAAAGCACGTGATCGTGATCTCCCGGGACTCGCGTTTTTGCCCTCACCTTCGCGTCCTCCCCAGCCCATGTCCTTCTATTCCCTCACGGTTGGGGGTGAATGCTTATCAGCTTAAAACAGCTCATTCTCAAGCTTTATTATTTGAAACACAAAGCTGTAATTTCATTCCATACACGATTACCACTGTGCACGCAGGGATCTTCCCGAGTGACGGCTTTGTTGAAACCGAATCCCTGCAATCATCGTCACTTTCACGTCAATCTCTCGTCCGACCCAATTCACTTGTCGCAGTTTGAAATTGCTCGAAAATCATCTTCGCCATGCAGTTCACTGACGCGGAAGCCGCTGACGTGAAGAAATGGGTGGTCAAAAAACTGGAGGACATGTGAGTTGATCAGGCACTTTGACACGGTTTCGGGAAAGAAGCAACGACTAATCGTATTCTTCGCTTGTAGCTCTGATGCCGACTCTGATGTGCTCGCAGACTATGTTTTGGCGCTAGTCAGGTCCGATGCGCCAGCCGACGAAATCAAAAAGGTCTCGGTGGAAAACCTAGAGGATTTTCTGCGCGAACGTGCGTCTGATGTCTCGATCGTTTGGGGTTGTTTCATATGACTAACGCTTACTAGACACGCAACCATTCGTCAACGAGCTCTTTACAACATTCGGACCCAAACAACCCGCGCCTGCTCCACCCGCACCTGTACCCCAGCTTCAGCGCCAGCCCCAACCCGCTGCCCCCATTCCCTCGTCACAACCCCCTGAGAATGCCCCCAGCGGCCCAAGAGCTGCTGTCGCTCCTGGCAATGCCAACCGCAAACGAACTTTTAATGAGGGATTCCAAGGGGAGCCGGAACACGATGATGGTGGGTTCCAGAATCGCGCTATGAAGACTGCTCGACGCGGCGCACGCGGAGGTGGCCGTGGCGACTTCATGGGTGGGCATCAGATGCAACAGGGTCAACAATATCCCCCACAGCAGCAGGCTCAAATGTTCGCTCCGCAGCAGCAGGGCCAACAGTTCCCTCCGCAACAGCCCGGTGGCTTCCCCATGATGCCTGGTTTCCCGCCGTTTGACCCGAACGATCCTATGGGAGCAATGATGGCTATGCAGGGTATGGGATTCCCACAGATGCCGGGAATGCCTATGCCTGGGATGCCTGGTCCTCCCGGTCAGCCAGGAGCCGATCAGATTCCACAAAGCAGCCAGCGATGTCCGTTCTATGATACCCAGGGTATTTGTTACCTAGGAAATACCTGCCCTTACCAACACGGGGAGGGAGGTGTCTCGAAAGACGATGGTAAGAGAAATTCATTCATCCTAGATATACCTTTGCTAACAGTCGCAGAATATGACCCAAAGACTGCAGGTATGCATGCGCAGCGGGGCGGTGCTCCCACACGCGGTGACCGTGGCCGCGGCCGTGGCCGTGGCGGATTTAGTGGGCGAGGACGAGGCCGGTCGGATTTCTCATCGGCAGGACCCAATGAGGACCAGTCCATTACGACTATTGTTGTTGAGCAGATTCCCGACGACAAGTTCAACGAGGATTCTGTGCGCGAGTTCTTCTCTGAGTTTGGTAACATTACGGAGGTCTCTTTGCAACCCTACAAAAAGATCGCTCTGGTAAAATACGAAACTTTCCCCGAAGCCAAAGCCGCATGGTCCAGTCCCAAGGTCATCTTCGACAACCGTTTCGTGAAGGTTTACTGGTACAAACCGAATCGCGAGGAAAAGCCTGAAAGCGCACAACCTGAGGCACCCGCCTTCAACCAAGAAGAGTTCGAGAAGCAACAACAAGAAGCACAAAGGGCACACGAGGAGAAAATGAAAAAGCGACAGGAGACTGAAGCCGCCAAGCAGGCTCTGGAGCGTCAGCGCGATGAACTTCTCAAGAAACAGCAGGAGGAGCGGGCCCGCCTCATGCAGCGACTCGGAGCCACAGCAGACACAAGCGATGCTGCCGGTACTGGGGATGCCATGGTCACCGAGTCTGCCGCCGATGAGAATATCAGTGATGAGACGAAACAGCTGCGAGCTCAACTCGCTGCCCTCGAGGACGAGGCAAAGAGCCTTGGCCTAGACCCTGCGGCTGACCCTTCAGGGCGAGGTGGATACCGTGGTCGTGGTGGCTTCCGTGGCCGAGGCACATACCGCGGACGCGGCGCTTATGACCCCAATTTCCGCGGAGGATACCGTGGCCGTGGTGGATTTGCGGCTCGCGGACGAGGAGGTGTGCTGCGTCTGGATAACCGGCCTCGACGAGTCGCCGTATCGGGCGTTGAACTGAACTCAGACAAAGACGAAGCATTGCGTCAGCACCTGATGGTAAGTCATGTATATTTCCAACCAAGCACGGCGTGTACTAATTTGTTATGTTCTAGGGCGTTGGCGAATACGAATCCATCGAGGCACACCCAGACCAGCCCAACTCCGTCGTGGTAGCATTCAAAGAGCGCTTCCAGGCTGAGAAGCTCATGTTCTCCCCCTGGAACATTCCTTCCGTGGGCGAGGTCCAACTCACCTGGATGGCCAACCCTCCTATTGTCCTTCCTACCGCTGGATCATCAACGGAATTCAAGGGTGGCCTTGGGCAGGACGAACCGGAAGACACAGTCATGTCGTCCACGTCGGTGGGCAACACTGCCCCTGCGCGTGATATGGACTACGACGTTGCGGAGGATGACAGCTGGGGCGCGTAATTCCGGTAATTTTTCTCTACCATCTCATGTCGGTTGTACAGGCTACATTAAGCTATTTTTACGGGATGGATGTTCCATTCCCGACCTGTTGTCTAAAACAAACCGTGCTGCAATCGTAGAGTGTAACAAAAGTAGATTCTCAAACGCTCTGAGGAATCAACTCGACCGTATATCCATCCTATCAACTCACATCATCAACCCTACCTATCTATGAAGGCATAGAAACTCACCGGATCAGAAATTATAGCACCCACATCCTTAAGAATCCTAACCCCACCCTCCCTCAATCTCTGCACAGCAGCCAACACATCAGGAACCGTGAATCCCAAATGCGCGAATCCAAGATGCGGGGGTACATTTCCCGTGGAAACACCACCACCACCACCGGCATCCTCCATACCATGCACATGATACAACTCCAGAAGTCCGCTTATCCCCGTCATAACTGGTATTTCACTCGTCCTCTTCGCCCAAGCGGTGATGTCTTCTTCGGTCTTTGCCTCTGCCGGCGCATGTCCGAGGTAATAGATAGTAAAGGGTCAGGCATTCATGGTGAAGATTACGCGCATACCTAGTTAGGAGGTTGATGTAGAAATGCAGTGAGCGGGATGGGTCTTGGATTCCCAGTGCTACGTGATTTGGTTTGTAGTCTTTTGTTGCTGGTGTTGCGGGTGGGTTTAGATTTGGGGCTGCGTTGAATTGGCTTTGGGGGTTGTGGAATTGGGGTGAGGACATTGGGGATATGGATTGTAGATGGGGATTTATCATAAGTATGGGGTTTGTGGAATTGAAGGGAATACTCGAGGGGTTGATGGTTGATACTCCAATGCAGATCCCGTTTGGCCTACCAAAGAGAACACTGAGTATGTATGTATGTATGTATGTATGTATCTATGTTGGAATAGATCTCAGGCATGAAATTGGTCGAGAACAGCGTACTACTATGCCATTGCTATGGGTTACTTCAAGAGACTACCTCTACTGATAAACAATCATATCCAAACCACCCTCATACGGCATCGTCACCCGTCGGAACCCACTACCCTCAGCATCAACATATGCAAAGAGCTCCTGGTACCTATCACCCGCTTTGATCGTATTATCAACGATGATGACCGCACCAGGTCGGAAATGCGGCTGGACGAGCTTCAGCGCAGGGAGGGCGAGAGGGGTCCAGACTAGATGCAGTGGTTAGTATAGATGTTCCTAGTGTCAACTAGTTATACACCAATATAGTATGCAAAGTCGAATAGAAGATAATAACCAGGGAATCAACCAGACACTGCACACAAGCCAAGGAAATAAAAATAAAACACCAACTTACTATCCAACAACAAAAAATCCACAGTCCCCAAATCCTCAGTAAGAGTCTCCCGCAGATCCCCAACACGAAGCTCAATAACATCCTCAACCACCCTACCAGCCTTCGCCCAATGCGCTCTCGCCACTTCAGCCTTGGACTCCTCTTTCTCTGTGGCGATAACCCTCGGCTTAGTGGTAGCGCTAACGCGCTTCGCATTCTCCGCAACAGCAAGCGCTAGATAGATAGTGCTAACGCCGAAGCTGGTGCCGGCTTCGACGACTGTTTTTGCGTTGATGCTGCGCAGGATGTGGTAGACTAGTTCGCATTTGTCTTGGTCGAGGGCGATGAACTTGTCCAGCATGATGGAGTCGAATTCCGGGCTGCATTGTTGTGGCAGGGTGGGCCAGTCCACGGTTGATTCTTGGGTTAGGGATTTGGTGTGGAGGTCTTTTAGGAGGGTTATGATTTCTGGGGTGGTTGTTAGGGGTGAGGGGGCATTTTGGATTGGGTTGGATTGGGATTTGGGATTTGGGGTTGTGAATGGAAGTATGTATTGGTTACTAGGAAGAGGAGTAGTAGTAGTAGAAGAAGAAGAAGAAGAAGAAGAAGAAGAAGAAGAGGGTAATGGAATGAACTACCGAGGTCTGATCTTAGCTATGAGGGCCTGAGAAAATAGGCATTAGACATTAGACATTAGACCTTAGGCATTAGGATTGGAGAATTGGAGAACTGGTGTACAGCATACAACATAGATAGTTAACTAGATGGGTTCTCACGTCAGAAAATCCTCAAACCGCAATGTCTCAAGGCCCAATTGGTATCCAGTGAGTCACCGGGGAGCCCTGTGCAAAGTCCGTACGATGTACACACACGCCCTTGTCGGGATTCAAGTGCAACCCTTGTCTGGTAGCTACTACACGACTATGACTATAATTAGCCCTAAATTCGCCTTAGTTGACCCCAAAACTGGCCTTAAAATTGCCATTCTACTGCTCTAGCAAATCCGCATAACTATCCAAAGACCTCCCAATCAAAGCAACCATCTCCCAAATATAATCCGCCGTAAATAGTCTGGCCCACAACCTAGTAACCGCAGCACTAAGCCGAGTGTTAGTAGCAAGCAACCACTCCCTCGAAACACCATGCTGCACTTCCATAACCATCTCAAGCACGAAATCCCTCAACCGAGTCTCTTGCTCCGTCAACCTCGGCTCCGGATCCGACACCGTGATCGCCTCAAGCCACTTTGCCAGCAACACCGCGCACTCCAGAGAACACAAAGCATGCTGATTCGACCACTGCGCCACCTGCGAGTGCGCAACAAATCCAATACCGAGCTTGACGGGTGTGCTGAGGGCATGTGCGCAGTGGAGCGCTGCGCGCGTGAGACGGTCGCCGCGTTGGACGGAGAGGTTGTCGCGGAGACTTGTTGCGATTTGGACTGGGTCCCAGGTTTGCAGTTGGCGGGCTGAGCCGCAGTCCGCGTTGAGGCGGATGTAGGCTAGTCGGAGTAGGGCTGCTGATGTGAAGGATAGAGGGCCGTTCGGGCTGAGTGGGTCAACAGAGGATTCTTGGTTGCGTTCCCAGCACTGACACCAGCGTTCTAGGGCTTGCTCGACGTGGACGAGCTCCGGTGTAGATGTCATTGATGAGGGGCTGAAGCGGTTTCGTCGGGACACGGGTAGTCGGCCCGCTTTCGTCATTAGCCAGATGTCTTGTAGGATTGCGTGGATTAGAACGTAGCCTCCGAGTGAGGAGAACCGTTCTACATTGCTGGTTGGGCCAAATAGGGCGGAAAGGGCATCTTGGAATTTCGGTTCGCCGGGACTCTTTAGGCGCTCTGTCCGCCAGAGGTCTGCGTGCGTGGCTTGCCATTCTTTTTCGGTGCTGGGTAATTCGATTGTGAAGTCTTCTGTGAGGATCATTGGTGGGACGTCGAAGACGATGGTTTGGATGTTGAAGAAACAGACAACAATTAGTTTGGTGCGTTTTACACTTTCCCGGCGTATCCAGCTACTCCATGTCCCGTCCTGCTCGGGTAGGTGGTTGAGTCCTCCTTTTCGCATGAGCATTTCCATTACACTGCGAAGGGACAGCCCCTCATGGTATGGAGGGTTGTTGATAAACCAGAGCGACACCGAGGTTAGGTACAATAAAGATTGTAGAGTTTCTAGGGTATCAATGTCGTCGGCCACATTGGCCGGGGACAGCTTGCCCGACTGGAAGACCCGGCGGACATGTTCCAAAGTCACTGGCTTGGCAACCTGATAAAGCCGCATACTGGTATCTGGCTCGCGGCAATACCGTGCACCCAATGCCGCCATTGATAAGAAGAGCGGTAATGTCATCGAGTCTACATCGAGAGTCGGGATATGGACAATTGGGTAGTGCTCATGGAAACCAGTTACATACCCGGTCAAACATCGGGATAGTGCATGTCGAGACGGCAACGATGGATCTGAGACCACATTGGCGTAGTCGGACAACATATCCAAAAACTTCTCCCGACATTGAGCCGTGACTGGTACGAATCCCGTGGGCTGGCGTGTCTTGGAGGATATGTGATACCCCTCCGGCTGGAGCGAAGGTAACTGAGCACCATGCCGGGGAAGTACAGAACTCGAAGGAGTTGAAGGAGTAGTTTCAGTCAGTGTCCCTCTATCAGAAGATTGATCATAGTCCGGAACCGGGGAGAAATTCAAGGGTGGGAATAGCGGGAGTGGCTGATAAGCCGACGAGAATGGATGATTTGGCAAGGGGACGCTATCCAAGAATGAGGTGAAGTCATGACCATGATATGATCCAGATCCGAAGCCACCTAGAGCATATCCGAAATCCGGGGCTGGAGATGGGGTGGTAGGTCCTGCAGAAGGATCGTCTGTGCTAGCCAACTGACCTAGCATTGGACGATGTACGCCCGATATTCCTGAATAATGGTCATCGGGCCTTTGCAAAGAGCGATTAGATTGGACATGGGTTGGGACTACAGATGCCAAGGAGTCTAACCCTTCCAGGGTGGGAGGGTTAGCGGGGGAAGGTGTGTGTGTCTGGTTGCTGGCTGGACTGGCGTCGAGGTTGTGAGAGAGACGCTCATGACGGGCCAGCAGATCCCTGAAGGGGTGAGTAAGTATCTAAAGAAGCAAAAAAAAAAGCACCTGCAAGGTTGGATTATGTATCATACTTGCGTGTAAAGGCCTTGGAACATTGATCGCAGGCAAACGGTTTCTCTTTGGTATCTGTGGGAGGGGGGTTATCAGACGGGGTATGGGGTGGGGGGTATTTGATCCAAGATCTGGAAGACATACGTGAACGATCGTGTCGTTGGAGATGCTCTAAACGAGCAAATGCCCTCTGGCATCTGTGACACTGATAGGGCTTGCTACTCAACATTGGGGGATGGACATGTGGAGTTGTGGTCTCGGGGGATTGTCGCGTAACTCCGGTGAGTACGGCATATTCCTTTTCTTCCCTTCCAGGGTTGTTCACATGCACCACAACCCAAGTCGAATTGATTGGAATATCACCATCTGGCAGCCTTGCATGTTCATTTTATTATTGGATCACCCTCCTGCCGATTCCCGAGGTCTGTCTATTGATTGTTAATCACTTCTGTCGAATCGGTCGCGAATCCGCAATTCCCCAAATTCCCCAAATTCTCCAAATTCCCCAATTTGGAGAAAAGGCCATCAACTTTGGAACTTGATTTGATGTCTGTTTGCGGAGAGGAATATAACCCCCGCAATGCTATGAATTGTACGGAGTATATAACTAATTACAAAATCTTTATTTTATTCTTATATTTTGTATTTTATATTTGATATTCTAAATTATATTCTGCATTATATCGTATAGTTACATAGTTATATTAACTAAAATATTGCCCATCCAAACACATAACACGTAAGCCAAGCTAGACATATTAAGTAGGCGGTGACTCCGATGCCAAGGATTCAGGCCCCTGAAGAGCATTATCAGGTCCACGCCAACTTGGAACTTGGGAGGTTTGGGAGGATTTGGGAGGGTTTAGGAGGACATTTTATATGGGAATTCAGAATAAGTCCTAGTATTAACTGCATGGGTATATCCTGTCAACAAGCCCCACATTCATGTCAAATAGGGGGAATCCCAAGTATGACTCGGCCTTTGATCCATTTCTCCAATTTTCTTTCGGTTGGACTCCACGCCCTAGATGCTTAGCCTATAAATCATTTCAAAAGTCCGTCAGAAACTAAGAAAACTCTTACCAAAACATCATCCAGACTCACTCCATGGCATCTACAACGCCGGGTGCACTTAAACCCCAACTAACAAGCATGGAAAAGCGCGATGAGACCGCCGAGTCTCTGCGTGGATCCCAAGATATCGAATACCGATATTTAGAGCTGGAAACACCCCTACCGACCCCATGCATTACTTTACCACCCGGCCCCGCTCAGTCATCACCGCCAGAACCGCCTAGTCTAGAGAAATATACATCTCCATTTCTCTGGCCGCAATGGCGCAAGTCCATGATGACTTATATCGCTTGCGGGGTTACTGCGCTAGCCGGTTATGCTGCGGGTGAGGTCAGTCCTGCATCCGAGGAATTGACTAAACTGTGGGGGATCAGTAAAGTCGTGTATAACCTGAGTATCACGCTTTTCTGTTGTGGGTTTGCCCTGGCGCCGATGGTGCTGGCTCCGTTTTCCGAGATTAATGGACGGAGGCCCATCTTTATTGCTAGTGGGATTCTCTTCGTTGGTATGTATACTGTGTTTCACTGTGTTTCACTGTGTTTCACCGTGTTACTACTTTCCTCATGCTGACTTATTTTACAATAGCTAGTTTAATTGGCTGTGGAGGTACGCAGTCCTTTGCTGGATTGCTTGTAGCTCGTTTCTTCCAGGGTGTGGGTGGATGTATGTATAGCCTGTTCCGATGGTAAATTTTCCCATTCAACTCGCAATAGATATTAACTTCACCCTCACAGCAACATTCTCCACCATGGTTGGCGGCGTTATCAGTGACATTTACCATGCCAAAGACCGCAACACGCCCATGGCGCTCTTCTCAGGATCAGCATTGTTCGGCACTGGCCTGGCGCCAATAATCTCCGGCGCAATCATCACACGCACCACATGGCGCTGGGTATTCTACTCGCACGCAATCGTGTCCGCCGCATTTGTCATTATCATCTACTTCTTCTTCAAAGAGACCCGCGGCAGCGTCCTGCTAAGTCGCAAAGCCGCAAAGTTGAACAAGTACTACGAGCAACTAGAAGAAGCTGGTCATCGCGGTGTAATCCTACCGAGCGAAGAAGCATCTGAGGAAAAATGCATTCGTCGAATAAGATGGAAGGTCAAGAGCGACGAGCAACGAGCATCGATCGCAACAATGATCCAGATCTCGCTTTACAGGCCATTCCGTAAGTATACCTCGACCATGAAATCAAAGATATATATATAAAAAAAAAAAAGAAAAAACGCTAACATCCAACCCAGACATGCTCCTCACCGAACCAGTAGTCTTCTTCTTCTCTCTATGGGTCTCCTTCAGCTGGGCCGTCCTCTACCTCCAATTCAGCTCCATCCCACTAATCTTCAGCACAAACCACAACTTCACAATCGAGCAAACAGGCGCCGTCTTCACCTCCATGTGCGTCGGTGTCATCATCATCACAATCATCAGCATCTACCAAGATCGCATCGCCATGCGCTTCGGTAAGCACACCACTTCCCCAGAGGGCAGACTCTATTTCGTCTGCATCGAGTCTGTACTTCTGCCCATCGGTATGTTCTGGTTCGGTTGGAGTTCTTTCCCGTCTGTGCACTGGATCGCGCCTGCCATGGCCGTTGGTTGTGCGACTATGGGCATCTTTTCGATTTATCTCGCTACGTTTAATTACCTCGCGGATACTTATCATCGGTATGCGAGTTCGGCGATTGCGGCGCAGTCTTGTTGTAAGTTCTTTTCTCTTTTCTGTTTTTTTCTCTCATTGTTCTCTTGGTGATGGTGTGGATATTTGCTGATATCTGGCTTACTAGGTCGGAATATGCTTGGTGGTATCTTTCCACTGGTCACCAATGCCATGTTCACCAACCTTGGTTATCCAGAGGCATCGAGTCTGCTGGGAGGACTTGTAAGTTGTGGTGATTACCTTGGCCCCAAAGGAAGAAAATAGACTGACTGGATCGAAATAGGCTGCTGCTTTAACTCTGGTCCCCTGGGTGCTGGCCTTATACGGCCCCAAGATTCGAGCTAGGAGCAAGCTCGCAAGTGTAAGTGATACACTCCCTCAATGTATACATAATGCCTGGGACTAATGAAATGATAGGAGCTCGCACATTAAATGATACACAGCGAATACCAACGGCGAACACCACAAAAAGTAATTTAATCATAGTATTTTCGGATAGGGGATTCATATAGAGAGACCACGACATGCATATTATCAACTATTTCAGGCCCAATAGATGCCCGGCCTGAATTTTCATCACAGCAAAATGAATTGAAGTCATACCAACCGTACGCTTCCTATGATCTGAACATGGTTATGCTAGCAAGTTAAAAACCCCCAATGCTAAAGCGATGTACATGCCATGTATTCCATGCAAAATCCCGAGATCTTAATATCAAAACAATGCAATTACCTCGGGCGTTGATGTCCTCTAAATGGATGTGCACCGTTAATCCTAGGACGATAAGATGCATACCGACCCTCATCCTCGCTATCACTATCCATTTGATCCAAAAGACGATCAATATCATCACCAGCATGGGCTTCCAGCCCTGGTTTTCTTCTGGGTTCACGACCATTGTGAGACACGGAGCTTTGGGACCCCTGGCTTCCATCTTGCGGAGCTCTATTGCTGGAAGTGTTGATGGACTCGTTCAGGCTGCTTTGCGTGCTCGCTGGTTGCAATGGACGAGGACTGAAACGATACCCCGAGTTCTCGGGGCTGGACATGAACATCAGGGTTTCAATGGCGTCTTGTTCCATGAGTGTATTCTGGGAGTGGGTACGATGTTTGTAGAAGCCGTTCGGGGTGGATGTTGGTGCGTGTGTGTGAGATGATGAGAGCGAGGGGGTCCCTGGCCCTAGGACTGGTTGGCCGTTGAGTGGTTGGGCGAGGCCGTTCTCTTGGTGTGAATGATGGCGTCGGTGGCGGGAGATAGGGCTGTGGTTTGAAGGTTTGGAGACTGCGTTAGGATTTGGTCGACGGCGCTGGTTATGACCATTTGATGAAATGATATCCACAGGCGGTGCTAGCTTGGGAATTGGAAGGAATTGATTAGATGAAAATGCTGATCGCGAGCGGTTATGGCTCGAGAAATTATGAGAGTTTCCGTTGGATGATGTTTGGGAATCTTGTGAAAAGGGAGTGGAATTTCCTGCCCGCAATGATGAAATGTCACTTGATGCCGACAGGCTCAATGGCGACGCGCTGTTGTGTGTTCGCAATGCGGTCTGAGGGGTAGCTTCACGAGACTGTCGGGCCTGTTCTACTTTGGCCGCTGCATATGATAGACGTGTACGGATATGGACCGACAACTGGGTAATACAAATGAGCTATAGATTCTGGAGGGAGCGAGTGGGCGCGTTACCTGTGCAATCCTACTCCCATAAGCTGACGAGCCCGTACTCTTCGAACGGCGTCGTGCAGCTCCATTCGAATCGGCAATGCGGGCTGTGGGAATATCTAAAGTGGACTTGAAGTCGCCAGCCGCTGTCCGTTTCTGGCTTGGACCCAAGCGAGCATCAAAGTTCGACCTTGTCTGCGAATGCTTTGGCGATGGCGGTGGTGATATTGAAGCATTGCCGGCTTTTATAGGTGCCAACGAGGGTTGCCATCGATCTATTGAGCCGCCTCCATTCACCGGCTGCACATGCGGGGCGGGTTGGGATGCCAATAACTCCCGATCCATCCACGGTTTCGATGTATGTCTATTCAATGTATGAGAGTTACCGAACTCTGTCGACTGGCTATTATCACCATTGGTCGAGGATGAAGGAAGGCTGGAAAGGGAGTCTGTGACGGTGCTAGCCGAAAGGTCTAGTCGTCGGCCATCGGCCGATGTATCGCTGCCGCGCTCCGATGGTTCGATATAGGCTGAGTTCGGGTTACCCTCGCCGTGAGCGAGGGTAACGGCGTTCAAGCCATCCATTTGTATTGACAATGGTTGCGGCGACTGTGTGGGTTGGGTCTTAGCCGAAGGCATTGGGTTGTGAGGCACGGGAGACGTCGCATTGTTCATAGAGTGGGTGTTCGCACTGGCCTCCGCATGGAGCACCCCGCGATTAAACACATCGCGATCGTCATTCATGGTCAATGATGGGGTGTGGAAGATCAACAGATGCTAGGATAGCGACAATTGGCAAATACGCGCGACCTAGCTTTAATCGCGAGTTTACGCGGCCGCACGATCTCAACACGCATGTCCTGTCTCAACTCACCGCATCGAGAGTTGGGACCGGAAAGGCCCGATATGAAATGATTTAGATGCAACTAACAGTCGAGATCTCAACAAGACGCGTGGGAGCACTGTGGGAACCAGGAGCATCTGCCCGATCGAGTGGCGATCGACCAGTACGCGCGCAAGGGTTGCGACAGCACGAGGCGGCAAATAGGGTTCTCCACCGTGATTTTAACCGCGGATGAAGGACTCGACAAGGGTTTGAATAGAAGAATGCGAGTAGTAAGAACTAACTTTGAATATAGATGCGCCACAATATGTTAGGACCAAAAGAAATGCCGTGGAGTAGTTGACAGAGAGTTAAGGATGACTGGTCTTGGAACACGCGTGCGAGGCGCGGTCACGTGGATGGTACTAGACCAATCTCATCGGATTCAATGAGTTTCTGTAGAAGGAGTATGTTTCCTAAATCATCAGTATATCAGTATATGGTCATTTAGAGATGAAGATGGTTGAAGATGGTTGTGAGTGGGCTTATGTTTGATGGGCTATACTTCGAAGTATACCAACAACTAGTTACCATCTACAAGACTACAATATACGAGTCAAGAAAGCAAATAGGATTTCTCATTAATGATATAATATACAAAATTCTGAAACAATGGCTCAACTCCGATAGACAACTCAGCGGAAAGTAAGAATAAGCTGAGAGAAAAATAAGCCGAGAGAAAGCAAAGATGGATCCAGATCCATGTTCAAGAGATATAAAGAAAACAAAAGAAACAATCAACCCTTTCCTCCGTAGTTCGTAGTCCGTATCCAATTTAGGCATCAGCCTGGCCTTTGATACCTCACCAGCACTGAGCCACACACCCATACAACCCCTCTAGATGACGACCGCTGTCGACATCTTCAGGTAATCCGGATTCAGACCAGAAGTGATCTGTTCGACCTCCGGAACCTGAGAAACAGGGCGATCAGCCACGTGAGCAGGCTTGGGCGCCTCTGGAAGGGAAAGTTAGCATCGAAGACAAGTTTGGAAAGGCATAAGGGGATCAACTTACTTGGTTCTTTGGGGCCACGCCAGATCTCCGTCTTCTCCTTCCAGTCCTCATACTTCTCCTTGCAGTCCCGAAGCTTAGGCTTAAGCTTGGGTTTCCATTCTTCCTTATACTTGGGCTTCATCTTCTGGTAGCTAACAAAGCTATTAGTATATATATATATATATATATATATATATATTTAGGATGATTGGATGGTGGACTTATGTACTTACATTGCGCAGCCCAATAAGATGACGATGGCGGCTATGATGAGCGCGAAGAGTAGATAGACGACGGTGGTTTCCTTCTCCTGGTCAACCTCGTATTTCTTGTCCTCCCGAGGAGAGAGTGTGTTGGCGTTGACACGGCTTGGAAGGGGAGCCATGTTATCCAATGATTATTTGATGCTAGAAAAATGAATTTATTGATGAATGAAGATGAAGCTTTGATGGAGCTTGATGGAAAATAGATGTAGTTGGAGAGTTGGAAATCTAGGACAGTGAGAATTCGCGAGGATTATATAGACAGGACTACGAGTGCTACTAAACCTGTTATTGAATCGGAGTATGAAGCTTTGCGAGTTAGGGTTGCTTTACCTGTTGTGGTGTCGGGGATGATGGAAAGATGATTAGGTTGTCACCTACTATGCCATATCCGGGCCTATGAACATGCAAATCCTAGGTTCATTTAGGACTTTCCTGCCTTGGGAACTGTCAGGTGCCTGGAGGTGCTCCATTCTACTTCTGGCATCGGAGACCAACCGACGGCGAGAAACAGCCTCGTCATTAGTACAGGAAGAATGGATAGTACAGACGGCATAGTGGAGGCAACGAGAAGAAAGCATAGGCAAACAGTAGTTGCATTCATGAAATAGTTTTGATATAAATAAACATCCAACATAATGTAAGTACAAGTTTTGGGTCCAAACGCCATCTATGCAAAAGACCCAAGTAGATTAAGACATGTCCAAGAACAAAGAATAGATCACTTGCGCTTCTTGCCGCGTCCACGGCCACCAGAGTCTTCATCCGGGTTCTTGCGCTTCTTGCCCTCCTTGCGCCAGTAATCATTGCGCTCTCTCTTCTCGCGCTCGGCCTTCTTCTCCAGACCATCAGCCACCTTAGCGCGGTAGACCTTGCGGCGCTCCTCCTGCTTGACGGATCGCTTGGCTTGCTTCTCGTTGCGCATGGTAGTGAGCTTCTGCATGAGATCACGGGCCTTCTTTTCCTCGCCTCCGAGGACAACGGCACGCTTCTGCATGTAGGTCTGATCCTTGTGGCCCCTCATCTTGGTGATCTGGGACTTGAAGGGGAGCTCGGCGGCCAGCTGTTTTGGCACACGGAGCGGGTTGAAGTGACGGGCTTGTCTTTCGATGGGCTTGTAAGCCGAGTCTTTGATTTGGGGGTGGCAATACCCTGAGCGTGACGGACTTCACCGGTCAAGCGCATGCCTTGCCATCCATTATCACCCTTTTCACCATCGACCTGGTCCAACAGGTTGGTCACAGGGTTGTAGTAGCGGTGGGGCTTGATGGGGTACCAAGCACGCAGGAAGGCAATATCACTCATCAAGATTTTGTCCTCGAATGTAGCACGGAAACAGCCATCGGGCTTGGATAGCGCACGCTTGATCTGACCGCGAATACCAGAGACAGTCTTGATGGATGCACCTTCGAACTTGGCAATTTCCAGCGCAGAGGTGAACATGTCCTTGATGAAGGCGGTGTTCTTGAAGATCTTGTAAGGGTGACCCGTGAGCTTGAGCTTCTTGACAATTTCCGTGTGCTCATCCACGCTCTGAACAACACCAGTGGCCGCAATACGGAAACCGGGGTTCTTGTTCGAGAACGAGTTCACACAGCAGAAACCGGTGTTGGGAGCAACAAGAGGTCCGTAGAAGGTAGCGAAGCAGTGCATATGCTCAGGGGTATACTTAAGCATGCGGTTTCGTGTCCGACTGTCGGAGGTACTGTAAATAGGCATGGTCTGGAAGCGACGCCAACCAAGCGAGAAGATCAATGGATCGTTACTCTTGAGAATCTTCTTGTGCCAGCGATGTCTCTTGATGCGAATCTGCACGTAGCCGAATCGGTCCTCAGTAGGCGAGAGACCACCAACGATGACAGGGAAGCGAGGGTTGAACTTGGAGACAAACTCGTAAGGTACGTTTTCGAGGACGATACGTGCGTAGGTACCGGCTTTGTAACCTTCAGCCCGGGCGCGCGAGGCAGGGTCGAGTGTCTCGAATTCGGCGCGGTTGATATCTGCCTGCTTTTGCAGCTTGGCTTTCTGCAGATCATACCAATCGTCCTCGCCGAACTCGCCATCAATACCATCATGCGTCCCGTCCTGAACCTTTCCAAAGCCTTCGCGGTCCTCTTCTTCAAAACGTAGCTTCAGTTCTTCCTTCTTTTTGGCATTTCGCTCACGCTCGGCTTCCAGGTCGGCAGCATCTTCGGGCTCATCTTCGCCTTCCTCATCCTCATCCTCATCGCCATCTTCCTTGATACCGTTGAAAACCTCGCCAGATTCCAAGTCTTCGTAGTCACCGTCACCTTCATCTTCATCCTCGTCATCCTCATCACCATCCTCATCATCTGAGGCACCACCGGAAAGTTTGCCAGTGATGAAGCGGAGTTTGATTAATTCGAGCAAATCCTCGTCCCGCCACTTCCGCTCCAGCTCATCGTAGTCGTACTCTGGAACAGCGCGGAAGTCGGCTTGGTCTTCTTTCTCGTTGTTTGTCTTCTTGAAGAAGTCCTCGCCTTCGTCGTCAGCGGTTCTATCTTCCTCGTCCTCCTCCTCGTCGTCGGAGTCTTCACCGCGCCATGTCTTCACGACATCAAGTGGGGTGATCGACTCGTCGTACATCATTCTTGACAGGTCGCTGACTCGGAAAGGAGGGCGCTTTCCGTGAAGAGACTTGGCATTGGCGAGCATGTTCTCCTTCCATCGAACATTGCCCTCCTCATCTTCATCATCATCCTCGTCCTCATCTTCATCATCATCCTCGTCCTCTTCTTCATCTTCATCCTCGTCTTCATCACCGCCCTCGAGTTCCTGGTCCGAGACTGAAGAGATGGAACCCAGGTCGGAGTCACTGTCAGCGAAAGCCATGTCTTCTTCCTCTCCACCAGCGTTTCCGTTCTGTTTGGCCTTGAATCGGGCTTCAAAGTCTGCAGGCGCAGACATGTCGAGTTCGCCTTCATCATCTGTCACATCTTCCTCGTCCATATCTTCATCGGCCTCCTCGTCGCTATCGAATCCTTCGGGAATATCTATGTCGTCTTGTTCAGGTACAGCCACGCGGGCGCGGCGTGGGGCTTTCCGGCCAGTCTCGTCGTCATCCGCTTTATCGAGGGCCTCGCCGCCACGGAAGAGACGAACACCCTGGTCAGCTTCACCCAGCATCTTGCGCTCGCCTTGAAGACCAACAACAAGGTGCTCACCAAGACCCCGGCGTTCCTCGTCGTCCGAATCCTCGTCCGAGTCCCGGTCAAAGGTGTTGGTCTTGATATCGATGTAAACTGCATCCTTGTCGACCAGGACACCACCAACATCAGACATGGGAGCGAAAAGCAGCTTTTGGTGCTCGCCAAGCTTGCGCCTGTTCGATTTTCCTGTTGCCTTGGCGATCTGCTGGTCCATGTAGGGAGTTGGGCATGGATCGGGTAAGCCTTCAATATTGGAAACAGTCAGATCACCAACACCAGGAACATGAACTCGGGCTCCATGGGAGGGAAAGTTAGTGCCGCGCAGGTAGCCGTAGAGCGCGACTGTGCGATCACACTTCGAGTTTTCCTCGATCTGAGTAGGTGGTGTAATGTCCAAGAAGCGATCCGCAAGCGCGTAAGGGTGGGAGTTGCGCCACACGAGCGGACGAGGGTTTTTCATAACGGACAGGAATCTTGAAAGGTTGTGCACTTCACGATCGGGGTACCGGCCGTTGATAACACCGGACAAGTAAAAGAGCTTTGCGCCCGCGTATAGCTCACTCCAGAAACGGTGCTTCAGGCGCTTCTTCGCGTCCTTCAAGGTGCTGTGTTTCTTGAATTGATCAAGATGAGTAAGAATACCGAAGACGTTACCCGGCATACCGGCCGTCGATAAAGCGTTCAAAAACTCCATAGTCTCCATCTCGAATCCAAAGTTTCCGTCAATCATGAGAAGCACAATATCTGCGATCTTTGAAATATCAATTGCAGCTGCGAGAGAGTCGGACGGGCATTCGATGAAGGTGAGACGCTTGCGCTTGGTCGTGACAACGGTCAACGGGCCTTGAGGCGAGCTGAGGGTTTGCTTGGTGTAGCGGCGAATCAGAGATTTGAGCAGAGTTGTCTTTCCAACTCCCGGGGGTCCAACGATGGCGACAACGACTGGCGGGGCCTCCTCGGGCATACGATCCACGAGGGGGACATGGAGTCTCTTTTCTTTGACCTAGAGCAGAAGTCCGGGTCAGCATCAATTGACCAGCAAAAGAAAATCCATATACATACATCATGCGATCGCGCAGCCTGTTTATTGAGCTTTCCAGGTCTGGAAGTGACGAATGCTTTCGGATTAGCACCTATAAAAAAATCATCATTAGCATGGGCTCGAATTTGCAGATTTATTGGAGCGGTCTCGCCGTACCCTCAAACTTCTTCTTTTCTTTGGCAGGGCGATGCGCCCTGTTGGCCTGTTGCTCCATACTATCTGTGAAGAGGTATAATACCTCGACAGATCGACTCCTTTATTCAAAGAGTAAAGAAAGACAAGCGCAATCGAGGTAGAGGACTTTCCCCGACAGCCAAAAAATTAGCAGCAATTATTTTTCTGCCAAAGCGGAGTAGATAAACCTTAGTCAGGGGATCAGAATCTTTATGGCCTAAGGCACAAACAGCATGTGTTGACTATTCCTGAGGCATCAATCCTTATCGTATACCGGCCCGGTAATTTCAATGTTGGCTCCACCCTGAGACATCACCCCGCTGCCTCCTTCCTTCAGTCTACCCGTGGACGGTACTAAAGTTCCGTACACTAACTAGCGCTATCTTACTCCGTACACCGCACGAAACTCCTTTAGAAATCGCAGGATGCAATTTCCCCTCGTGGCTATCATGCGGGGCAGCATTAATGTCGGGAAGCCTCCGATTATCTCTAGCTAACTATAAATTTACTCTATACTCCCCCACAAAACCCCAAAAACCCTATGAATCCAATCTTCCTCCGTGTCTACTAGACGTTTGTGTAACATCCAGTCTCTATATCACCCCACCAACCGTATATAATGTCCACACGCCAGCCACCCCCAGCTTACACAGCACCGCCCGATTCGGGGGTTCATGCAACTTCGCAGTTGTACCGCTCAATCTCTGAAACCGCATCTAGCCCCTCTGCGCGAATCCCAAAGGAATCATTTACTATCAGACCATGCTCTGCCCAAGCGTGGGTTGTACCTGCCGGCCACATCTGCCGCCTGACGACACCCAAGGGGCCACAGGTGGGTGACCTGAATATCTGGAACGCAAGTAACCCCCGAGAACGGATGTGGGCTGCACGTACCCGACAGATCCACGCCTCTCACGTCTCAGTGGGTGATCGACTATGGTCGAACCTACCGTACCTGCGGCCCCTCGTAACAATCACAGGTGACTCGTTGGGCGGCGGGCAGCTGCATGACGTGCTTGGACCGGATGGAAAGCGTAACCCGGAGGTTGTGTTTGGGCCTACGCAGTTTGGAGGGCGAGTGCATGACTTAATGGGAACTCGCTGCGATCCTTATGTGAACTTGCTAATGGGCGGAGAGACCTTTGACTTCCACTGTCATTCGAACCTGACTCGTTCCGTCGTCCCTCATGGACTTACGGAGCTAGATGTCCATGATGTCTTGAATGTGTTTCAGGTGACTGGGTTGGACGAGAATGGAAAATACTTCATGGAGACCTCCCCTGCAAAGGCGGGCGAGTACTTTGAGTTCTTTGCAGAAGTGGATGTCCTCTGCGCGCTATCTGCGTGCCCTGGTGGTATGGCACCATGCTACACAGATGTCCCAATTTTTTTTTTATATGCTAATGATACTCGCAGGTGATTTATCCAATTGGGGCTGGGATGATAAGGAAGCTGATATGGGGGCCACTTGTCGTCCGTTGGGTGTGGAGGTATATCAACTGACAGATGACAAGATCCTGGAGGGGTGGAAGGCCCCAGAAAGCCCCAAGTACAAGGGAATGCACGGGATGAAGATGCCTCCCCGCGAAGAGGATGGTTACATTGGACTTTAGGGTAAACGCATCAAGTAGAAAATTATAGAGTCGTTTAATCCAAGGTTGAAGGGTTGAATGCTTGTCTCTATGCAAGACATGTATCAAGACATCTTGCCCCGCGTTTTCTTAAATATGATGTCATTGCCTTGCATCGTTACATCAACAGCAATTCCCCTCCTTTACAACATATGTTGTACGTTATAGGCCGGATTGAAATTATACGGGACATTATAGAGTCATTTAAGCAAGGGATGCAACAGAAATCTTGCATTCGGGAGTGAGGTTACTATAGTTAGAGGCCACTACCAGACCCATGTCAGACAAGCATATAAGACCACCTAATAGATCATGCCAAGTAGCACGGGAACTACCCTAAGATACTAAGATACTAAGATACATCCATAATGTAGTAAGGTGACAAAAGGGTGAAGCGGGTGAAAGACAAAGCGGCTGATTGGAAGGTACCTGCTTCAAGGCACCTTCCAAAATAAAGTGTGGCCTTCCCCCTCAAGCCCCTCTCTCTTTTTTCCTACGAATTCTTTCTTTCTTTCTACATACCCTTTCTCCATTCACGTTTTGTACCCTCACCCATATTTTGCTATCCGACGTCATGCCTCTTTACAACGTGAGTTCGGCTTTATCTTCAAAAATATCCGGACTAACATCTCCCTAGATCACCCTGAAGACCGACGCCCCCGTTGAGGAGCTGGAAAAGTGTGTGGCATTGTCATTATCTTGAATATCTTGGTACTAACACATATTCTCAGGGCCAAGGCAACAGCTAGGGAGAAGGGCGGCATCATCAGACATGAATACAGCATCATAAAAGGCTTCACGTAAGTGGTGCCGGTCTGATCTATACTATCGTGACATGCTGATATATGGATCAAAACTAGTGTTGAATTCCCCGATGACAATGTCCAAGCCTTCGAATCTACCAAACATGTCCATGTTGAGCAGGATGGCGACGTAACTACAAAGTAGATGAACCTATCCATCATGACTAGGGCTGAAGGCTGAAGTCCTTGTGGATTGAAGTCGTCGTGGATGCTCTGTGTTATGACCGACCCGAAACATGAAAGCTGGATATCCGGGGGTTCTTTTTTTTTTCATTTATTTTTGTGTGTTTTGCTTCAGCGAGATGACTTGATACCAATTATGCGACCTGATTTCATCCGCGATGTCATGTACATCTTATGAGTACCGGATTTTTTTTCCAAATGTGAGATGTACAGGCATTCATACAGATGAAGCAATTTTCCTGAATCCAACCATCAGCTTGAGTGATGGGCACGGTGTGTATGAATTTAAACTTGGGTGAGCCCTATGTAACATCCAAAAGTAGAAATTCATGTAAACACACCTATCACCGGTAAAATATGTAGCAACCTTGATCCCTGTTGATCTACAACATTGGACCGATGATATCCGCACCGCCGATGCAGATCTTCCGCCCCGGAGTTTCACTGTGAACTTCTTCCACTTGTCTCCCTCTATCTCATGGCCACAGTTCACAATGACAACCTTAATACCTAAAGCTATGCCTTTTCGGCCTGGCTGCCGAGGCCCTCTGATTACACGACCTCGCATTTATCGTCAATCATCCACACAGAGTCAAAACTGGGCTGGTCGCCCATTCGATGTCGCCAAAGACAATGTTGCGCAGCTGGCTGCGAGTCCCCGTCGACCATTGACACTTGCAGACCTACTAAAGTCAGTCTTAAATATATATATATAATAACTCACTACCAAATTGGAACCAAAATGTGCTAAATTCATGTCAATCCCTTAGACACGGCCGTCCACCATTGAACAAAGAGGCTCTTCTAGCCTCTGCCAACTTCACTCTATCCCTTCTCCCCGCCCGACTAGCTTCTCGGATCCAAGCATTACGAAACCTCCCTTTCATTGTTGTCTCAAACCCCCATGTCTCTAAGATTTACCACAATTACCTCCATTCGCTATCGACCCTCATACCATATCAACAGCGCCGCATCACGACACTCGAAGAAGAGAAACAGTTCGGGGATGTACTGGCAGACCTCGTACACACGCATACAAATACAATCCCCGTCCTCGCACGCGGGTTTTTGGAGTGTAAGAAATATGTGAGCCCGGCCGACGTGACGAGCTTCTTAGACACGCATCTACGGGCGCGTATCGGTACGCGCTTGATTGCGGAGCAGCATCTAGCTCTTCATTATGCCTCTCAGCCCATCAGCGATAACCCATCCGATGTCACTGATGCACCTGAGCCCAAGAGCTCGATTCCACCGAACTATATTGGCGTCATTGACACCGCTTTGCAGCCGGCACGCATCATCCGGCTATGCGAGGATTTCGTTGGAGAAATCTGTGAGCTTAAGTACGGAGTGCGACCGCGTTTGAAGATTGGAGGTGAGCCTGAGGCTACCTTTGCTCACGTCCCTGTACACGTGGAGTACATTATCACGGAGCTGTTGAAGAACGCATTCCGGGCAACTATTGAAAATGGAAATGAGCGTGAGCCTATTGAGGTGACAATCGCTGCTGCTCCAGATGTACCTGGAAATGCGCCGCCGGTTCCGGGTGATACTGATACTGGATTTGAGTTTGATTCGGAGTATGCCAGCGCCAATGAAAATGAAACCATTGGGTACTCGGCTCCGTCGTCTCAGAGTATCACTATCCGTATCCGTGACCGTGGTGGTGGTATTCCGCCTGAGGTTTTGCCCCATATTTGGTCGTATAGTTTTACGACTTTCTCCGATTTAGACCTCCAGGGCTCGGAGAACAGCAATATGGATGCCTTGAACACCATCTCTGCTAGCGGTGGCCACCTCAGCAGTATTGCAGGTCTTGGTTATGGGCTGCCTCTTGGTAGAGCCTACGCTGAGTACTTTGGCGGTAGCATTGCGGTGCAAAGTCTGTGGGGATGGGGGACAGATGTTTACTTGACGTTGCAGGGAGTTGGGAGAATCGACTGAGAAAAGCCAAAGGAAAACGACAGCACTAGATACCCTGAACAAGATCTTCTTTTTGGCTAGTACAACCACCTTATGGTACCTGCAGATAGATTTGCCTTCTACAACACTGCCCTGACCGATGACCGGATAAACAGATCTATGAAATCCGAGACCAAGATGTCTGGATTTTGAACAGCACCCAATATCCGCCCGATCTCTGCCGCCGAGAACATAAGCCCCATATTTTGGAAAAACTTCTCTTGTACCGCAGCTGGTGTTTTGGGATTCCGGGCATGTCCTAGTGGGTACTCGATCACTATTTCAGGCAACGAGGATCCATCTGCGAGATGGACTGTCATCCCTGCGCCAATACTCTTCTTGTCCAGATTCAAGTAGTCTTCCGTGAGCCTAGGGTCGGGCTGCACCACAATCCTTCCTCGCAGGGCTTCAAGATCCTCACTATTCGCCCATGGGCTTTTGTCTAAATAGTCCGCCGCCTCTGGCGGACTACATTTCAGGAAAGCCAAGGCAACCACATACTGAATGCAGTGGTCACGATCAGCAGCGTTATGCAGAGGCCCCTGTTTGTTAATGATCAAAAAGGCAGCAGCAGTCGTTCGCAGATCTATTCGCTGGATCTGTTTGAGAAGATCGGACAGTCCCTTCTGTCGAAATCGACGCGCTTGCAAAACAGCCGCCTCCACGGCTGAAATTGCATGCCCTTCTACGGGCATACTTTTGAACAGCACATTCCGTATCGTCCACGACCCAAATGGTCGTGGAAGTACAAATCCCGCCTCGCCAAAAGTCCGCTCCCAAAACCCCCATGGCTTCGCGCTCAACGCCCCTGCCGAACCAGGCTGGCCATCTTGCACCAGTAGAGCCAACTGCACAGCTCTTCTCGCTGCATCGCCTGCTGCCCATCCTTTCCTCGAGGTGGTATTTGCGCCGGATCGATACACCCGGTTTGGATGACCATCCATCCAAACATGGGAAATAGTCGCCATGGCTTGTAATTCTGTCATTCCAACCAACCAACAAACAACAGAAGCAGAAGCCAATTTCACCAAAACCACATGATCGATTCCATAGGCATTAAACGCATTCCGCATTTGATAACACCCCTGTATCTCATACGCCTTAACCAGCGCAATAAGCAGCGTCTGCATCGTCAACGGTGGACCAGCATGAACCCGTCGACCAGAGCAACTTGCACGCGACAGCCAATCCATGACTGGGAGTATAGCCCCGAGATTATCTAATTCAATCCAAATCTTAGTCTCACAGACACAATCCCTTTCCCAACCTCATGTCCCATACCAGAAGGATGTCCCCACTCCGCACCACCAAGCGCATCATTATGATCCAAGTACCGAATCAGAACACCTAGATCGAAAGCCCCTTTCACAGGATCGACCTGAAACCTCGTTCCCGGGACCCTGAATCCATCCGGCACGACTGTGCCCTGGACCACGGGACCGAGTAGCTTTCGACATTCGGTGCTCGTCGCTGCTGTCTCGATGGCGCAACCCATTGCGTCTAACAGAGTTGTCCGCGCGCATTTCCAAATCGCTTCATCGTCTTCGTTGAGAGTGTGGTGGTAGACATAGTCTACCACGTCGACTATTGGTTGGTCGTATTGGCGAGACATTTATGTAGGGATGGGGTGTTCTTAGCGGTATTTTAGTTACTTTTTGACTTGCTTATTGTGAAATTGCGAGTTGATGGAACTTTATGATCTTGGTAACATCTCGGGCAGGGTACATGTTGCAGAAGTCCTCGGTGGGTTTCCTGGAATCACCCGGTCACACACGACGGCCTTTTGACTTGTTCAATGTTGATATCGAATAACTATTCATCTTTGTTTGCACATCTTGGTGGTATGCTACTACTGGGCATGTCGATATCTGACTCTTCGTATGTACGCGACGCATGATGACTCTCAAACAACTTATGAATGACTTTCTGTGGACTGTCTGCCCTTGATACATATTGTACACTTTGCGTGGTACCATCTTGCACCGAACTCGATTGGGGCTTGGGGGTTGTCGAATGGACCATGCCCCCACGTTGCTTGTTTCTTGATTTCTTCTTTTCTTTCGATTTTAATTACTTTGTAGGATATGTAATATTGGGACCTGTGAATTACTGCATCCGGTTAGTTTTGCTTTTTTGGGTTTAGCGCCGCAATACGCCGTCACGTAACCTCCCCTACGGCAGCCGATTTGGGCCAATTTTGACAACGCTTATTAATACATATATAAGATTCACCGCTGGAGTTTCCGCCTTTTGTACCGTACAACATAATACATTCCGTCTATTCTGAACCTACATTTCTTTCTATTTTTGATTTAATTCTAGTTTACGTAGTGAAAAATACTATATTTTAATCCGAAAAATCGTATATTTATACCTAATTACTACTATGATACCTATATATTGATAATTATGCTTCTTAGATATATATGACTTAATTTTATTAGTGGTTTATATACAAATTGTAGGTATTTACCGTCTAAGAAGAGGTAGTTTGATATAAAGGCGGTATAGAATCGTAAAGGCGGGGGAAGTTCAAAAGCTTGGCAAGGTCTTGGCAAGATGGCCTCAGCCGCGTTCCGCTCTTCCCGGTCTCCTCTCAGCATCTCTGCACTGCACGAGATCGGTAAAACCTGCTTCTAGATGACGTGGGACAATTTGCGGATACAAGACATCGTATCCAGACTTGATATCTTGACTGCATCGCTCAATGCTTGGCAATCGCTGCCTCAGATGGCAGGCAACAACAACAACAACAACAACAACAACAACAACAACAACAACAACAACAACAACAACCTCGGAACAACAACAAAAGCCGATTGGACTCAATAACTGACCATTTCAACTTTGTTGTTTGTGCCTAACTATCACATCGACCCTTCGTCGCGGTATTACGAGCGAGTCAGTAGAAAGTGACCCTGCGTGGTTCCACAGAGCTGTTCACCTGGACGGACGCATCCTTGATCCGTTCTTATGACTAAAGTAGCTTCATTGATTTGTATTCGTTATTGCATGAAGCTTGAATCAGTTGTAAGTAGCCACAGGATCCCCGAGAACAGCCATCCGAGGAGTGACACCCAAGCCGGGCACGGTAGGGGCATTAAGAGCTCCATTCACTACATCGAAAGGCCCATCTGCGGTTTTCCCGACACACATATCCCGGTATTCCAGAATACAACGTAGGCTACGAGAGGGGATAGTTTGCGCCAAGTGTACAATCGCTGCAAAAACAATATCCGATCCACTGGTGTCCTGGACAGTCATCGTATAACCCGCTGCCAGACAAATATCTCGCACGCGACGGCCTCTAGCCAATCCTCTGCACGTTGCCACGAAGGCCAGAACGGCAAGAGTCTATCCTCGATAACTAGGTGTCATTTGCATGTTTGCCGTGGTGATCAGTTGCTGCAAGGGGAACAGCGATTGGCCAGCAATTTTGAGACCGACGATCTCTGAGGCTTAGCTTATGGTCTATTCTGGCTGATCAAAGTTAAGTTGCCAGTTGAAACCAACACAGATAAGTATGAGGTCTCTACATTCTGGAATTATATTAAGTAGTTAAGATATGCCAAGCCTGTTCGGGAACTCACTAACAGGTCTCTTAGCCAAGGCCAGCCCCTCATTTGCTGGCTTTTTCTCTTTTTCATATCCCCCCTCCAGCTGCTCGAAGAATACAATTGCTATGCCGGGATACACGACTCTCTACTCCAGAACCCCTCGCTCTTTCCTTTTCGCCGTGGTGGCCAATGTCGGTCCCGGCGGCACCAGCCGCTGCCTGGCCGTGGCCTACCGCCAACACCACGACGAATATAACTCACAGATATCCTGGGATCGAGTGCAATGTATGGTGACCGACACTCTTGCGCTGACCGAAGTCCTCTCGGATCCCACGAACCGTGCGCCGCTGGAGGCTGAGAGGGCGCTCGCGGAGGACTGGTATCGTCGGTCTCAGGGCCGGGAGCCTCCGATTCATGAGCGGCCCAGCGTACCCGACACCGCGCAACCCCCGTTCGTGCCCTGGTACAAGCGGCGTGAGCCAGGGCAACAACAGCCCCCGCTGCCGTGGCGGGATGATGCGCCTAGTAAGTTTCCCTTCACTGCGACGTGTGTTTTGCTGGCGTTGTTGCGCGATACTCGCGACAACCGCACCCGCCCCAGCGACGTTCAGTTTCAGCCACTATCGACGCTGTTCCGGGCCGACTGCACTGAGTATGGCCTGGTTATTCTCGACATCTCTGACCTCGACAGCGGCGTCAAGTACGGCATCGTTGCGTTCCCCATGAACTACATGGCTGAGGTTGAATACGGCGGCGAGATGATCGGCTGGGATCCCGTCGAAGACCCCCAACCGGAAAAGGAGCCCGATGTTGTACTCGCAGACCCGCGGCCTCGAGAGCTGTTATCAATCTCGCAGTGGGTATCGAAGCATTACTACTGGTCGGGCCTGGAGAAGGCGTCTTGCATCCTCAAACTAGAGGAGAGGCCGCTGGCTGATGCGGTAGCCTTGGATTGTACGTCTGTTCACCCGAATGATTTTGCAGGTGCCGACAGGGGGAATAATGGTAGATATCTGGCCACCAGAGCTGGATGATCCGACTCGAACATCTTCAGAAGGTGATCTCTGGCGCTATTCCATGTTAACCTATATCGATCACATTTGCTAATCTCTCCAACAGACTTCAGACATTCAATGATCGCCACCCAATCCCCGCCTGATATGGAAGGTTACACCATAGTACACCAACCGCCGCAAAATGACCCCGTAGGCATAGTCCGCACCATTGATGATCTGCTTGTTCTCACCCAGGAGCCCGCCTCCGGTCCCCTCGAGAAGGAAGCGCTCGCCAACCTTCAAGTACTTGCTCAGTTCCGCGAGCAGCTGCGGCAGCGGCTCGAAGAGGCGCCAGAGAGGCTCGGCTCCTCCCAGATCTCCAGTCATGTACTGCGCGTGGCATACGCTGGATGCCGTCACCTCAACTGGGTGGTGTTTGGAAACCTGCCGCCTCGCGTGATCGCGGCCGCCATTGCATCGGATGAACTTCAAGGTGCGTCTGCGCTCAGCCTCTGCCTCAATCCGTTCCAGCTGGTGGGAGATGAGGAAGATGGAGAATCAGACCTTGGTGACCTCGCCGCGGCCCTGGCACAGTCCACGGCCCTTCAACAGCTCTGCTTCTTGCAGCAGCCGGACCGGAACAGCGACGATGGCTCCGCTCATCCCTTTTCGGAGCTGTCTTGGCTGTGGTCGAGGGCATCAAGTGAAGACTCGGAGTCGCTCCGGCTGAGAACCATCCATTCGACCTCCGCTTTGTTAAACGGTTTACGCGGCCGCGAAGTTCGAGCAATATCCTCGCCGAGGAATTTGGGTTCTAGCTTCACCTCGGGCGCTCAAGTCGTTCCCATGATCCATCTGTTCACATTTTTCAGCCCCCAGCGCGAAGATGTCCGGGACGCAGCTACAGACCACCACGTCGTCCACCCTACTCGTCCCGGGTATAGTGGCCACTACTCCATGGATAATACTAGGTTAAACGCCGAGGGCTTCGCTGTCCGATTCTTGGTATACCTCCGATCCTTAGGTCCGGATTCGGATCCCGACCAGGCCATCTTGCGATTTGCATATCATAGGGCGTTCTTATCACTCGCTTCCATCGACGAGGATAATAAGAACAACGACGACGACGAGCCCGCGTCGCCGCCCCGGGGGCCACCGCCGCGCCTACCGCCGCTCCAGTCATAGCTAGATCAATTGGGTGTCAGGCCAATCCCCGCTGGATTTTTCGATGAGCTAGCCCCCGACCACCCGTCCCGAGACCGACTCAGGGATATCTCCCCTAGGAGCTGGGTGGTTCTTATAGATAGACAAGACCGACGTGATCGATTCAGCGACGACCGCGCCTTCTTACAATACTCTTTTATCAGAATCCGTCGCTCTCCAGCCCCGAAGCAATAACAACAACAACAAAGACCGGCCCCCGTCTCTAGTTTAGTTGAGGTAGTCGGCGGGCTGACCGACTTCCTGCGCAAAACCGTACCAGAAACTGATATTACCACGTGGGAGAAACGGCTCGAGGAGGTAGAGATGGACTTGGTTTCAGCGTTGACTAGACCGAGCCCACCCAGTACCCCGTCATCGATGGAATGGTCACCGGGGGTGAAGCCGATTGACGAGGTGCTGAGGCGCTTGACTTCACCTACAACTGAGAGCGCAGACAACGCCCCGCCAGAGACTGATCTTCCCACTGAGGAGGGACTGGTCGTGGAGGGAGAGAGGGAACGCTGCATCGGCGTTCGCGTCATGGCTGAGAGCCGGGTCCACACTTTACTGGACCAGTTACTATGATTTTACCCTATCTCTAAGCTATCATCGAGGCCTATATATCCATAAAAGCCCCTCTCTTTAGGCTATAGATCCCTCAAGATCCCGTCACAACTACCCTCTCAAGCTTACCATTTAAAGACCCGCCTCCTTCAGTCTAGCTCCGAAACGGAGAAAAGGAAGGAGCGGGGACTATTGGAATCCAGACACTTATATCCGAGTATTATATTATTTACAAGATAGGGCGATTAATAGAAGTAAATTGTCTAGATAACAAGCTGGGCAACGAGAAGTAGAAAAGTGCATTAGCCTCATATTTGGTTCTGAGCAGGCTGAGCAGCCTAATCTAGGCTTCTGACAAAATACGGCTAGCCTAGGCCTAGCGGGAAGTAATAGACCCAAGCGAGAGCGTCTTTGACTTCTTTTTTCAGCTTCTAGTTCTTCTTTTGAGATTCAACACTAAAGAATGACATGGTATATTATTCACTCCTCTTCAATCCCATCTATTTGCAACACGCGATTATCCTATGACGTTTGTCTTCAAAAGCGAGGGTGGAGATGTCTTAAGTATTTGTAGAAACAAGATGTGAATTGTTTTATATAAAACCTCTCAAAAACTAATTGCATGCAGGCATACCCTCGAATAACAATATTCCTTGAACCGATACAACGTCAGGACAGGTGCCGGAGCACGGGTTATCAGTATCCATAGGGTCCAGTTGTCGAGGCGTATACTTTTTGCCATTGAGGGAGAGTTGGAATCCGCATTCGGAAAAGAATTCCGGGCCTTCATTCACAAATTTGGCATCGCCTTTTTTTGCAGAAGTCAAAGGAGAACTCGTCCTTAGAGATGTCGCAGATTGGCGGAGACGATCCAATATTGGCGTTGCTGGCAAATATCCCATTGCGGTGTGAACCTGGATTTTTGTTGTTAGCGGGCAGTACTCTTTCGGTTATTATGTAGTAATTGCACTTACCAGGCGCATAAATGCTATAGGCATAGATTGGAAATTGCGATGAAGGGGTTGTTGATGTACCAAGGCACAATGGGAGAGTTTCAACAGGCGGCGATGATGTAGTCGTCGGTGATGTACCAGTAGTTGTCGATGTCGACGTCGGTTTCTGGGGCGGCATGCCATGAGGGTTCTGTGGATCCTTGGGGTCATAATAGTCCGGAGGATGGCTGATCTCCGGGTGCGGGTCACAGTAGTATCCCTTGCAAAGCTCTCCGCCGCAGTTATTCTCGCTAGTACATTTGGGTCCGGACGGACCCTCGTTCCAGTTGATGTTCTGTCCGGGCCCACTATTGTCCCCGGGGATAAGGGGGCAACTATCACTACCACCGCCGGATTGCCGGCGCCCAAGTTGTCTTCGAGCTGTCGGGGGGTTGGTGTTTTGGTTGGGGAAGCAGGGCTTCACGTCCTCTCCCGGGTTGGGGGCTTCGTTCTCGAGATTGTCCTTGATGGTCGGGCACACCTTGGCCCAGTCTTCCGTCGACCCGTACTCGCGGAGACAGCTGTGCTCGCCAACCTGACCGTTCCAGATGACCAGCCGTCGGGCGGGAGCAAGGACTGGGCTGTCGTGTACCACGAAGCGGCGCGCAAAGAGCTGGATGAGCTTCTTCACGTTGCTGGGCTTGTCCAACTGGGACTGCCAAGGAGAGGGCACCGAGCGGAAGTAATTGGCCAGGGCAGCGACTTGAGGGGAGGCTGCAGGAGACCCATGTTAGTTAGTCACAAGTGGTGGGGTGGGGTACAATTCTTGGGGGTGAACGTACCAAAGGATGTGCCACCGCAGTCCCTCATGGGGGAGGCAGAGCCCGGGGCCGCGGGGCAGTAGATTTGTCTCCTCGTAGTAGTATGCGTATTCGACGTCGGGCTGTTCCACTTGTCCGTTAGTTCCGATTCACAACTTTCATGGGCGAGGGGGAGAGACTTGCCGACTGCCTCAGAGCGTCCATGGTATCTTGACCGAGCATGGGAATCCAGTAGAACGCCACCCAGCGTTCTGTAGTAAGTCCCACCTCTACGTAGTCTTTATACCCCTGGAGCAGGCTGGGAATTGAGCCTACGTTCTCCGGATCCTTGGGGTAGACGATGGCCGGAGCCGGGCACCCGGCCGCAGGCGGCTGATATTCGCCGCCGCTGCCCGACGTGGGCTCGCAAACTGATGCCGTGGTGGTTTTGGTTGACCCCGAGTCCGTTAAGGAGCAGCCGTATACGGTTTCGCAGGCGGATGAAGTGGCAGTGACCGTGGAAGTGATAGTTCCGACCAGGGTCTCCGACTTCGAGACCGTCGTGGAGCAGAGCTCTGCCGACTCGGTCTGGCAGGACGGCTCGTTGCTGTATGTGAGCTTGTTGTCCCTGCCGACACTGTAGATGACAAGTTAGGTCAGTGAAAAGGGCTTCTTTGTTCTCCAGGAGGGCAGTTTCTTACGTGAGTGGCGGCCATGGGGGAAGCGGCGGTTGGATAGACCACACGGAATTTCCAGGGGGGCCAAGAATATCTGGCGGAGGCGGACCACTGAGGGTGTGAATCAAGAGATGTTAGTTCTTATCCGATACACGTACTTTTCACTGGGAAGAATCAGACTCACGGTGGGTAAATTCCGGGAGGGAGGGTCCATCTGATCGACTTGAATCGCCCACCAAGGCATATCTGGACATCATTAGCGTGGAACCAATTTTCGATCACATATTTGCAGGACATACATTGAAAAACCAAAGCTTGCAGCTCGTAATGATCGCGCCATCATCATCATCATCATCATCATCGTCATCGCCGTCTTCCTCGTTGACGGGCTCGACAACGTACGGTGGATATGTTCGCCATGTAGGCAAGGTCGTCGGGGCTGGCTATATCGTTTTTGACATCAAATTAGCCCTTTCAAATCTCAAAAGGTTATAGATAAAGAGTAGTCATAAAGAGACATGATCAAATACCTCATTTGTTGTTGGTTCAGGCGCGGCTGTAGTTGGAAATAGGTTTGGTAATTCCCAGTCGTCGTCGTCGTTGTCGTCGTCGCCATCTCCACGAATCGGCGGGCCCTGGGTCACAGCCGGTCACGCAGGAAGGCTCAGAACTCGTGTGGTTGTGCTGCCGCCACCGTCGTCTAGGCTCACGGTCACAGGTCCGATAGGAATACTGACGCCGACCCAGAGCTCACTGGCGTCTTGACTCCGGGTTATATTGACGTTGGAGTACGACACCTCGTCCGTAGTGATAACAGGCAGGTCCAGGGTAATTGTCGTGGTCTGCGTCACAAACGCGGTGATCACTTCGTCGTTGCTGGTGGTTTTGGCGGTGCTTCCGTACAGAAGCGACGTCGTGTACTTGCCCGGGTCGATGGTGGTAGGAGATGGAAGCTGACTGGGGGGGAAAACGAGCACGCAGGGGGTTTGCACAAAGCATTGGGCTCCTCGTAGACAATAGGGTCCAGATAGACCGGGTCCCCTGTCTCTGCACGCCGACCTTCCTATAATATCTTGTGGTTAGCGGTGGTCGATGATGCATCAGTAGGTAGGATGCGAACTCACGCCCTGGAGATCAATGGCCCAGTCAGTCGTACCACCGCAGTTCAGACCCTTATACTGATCACGCCGGCGGTCTTTGGTCTTGTCGGTCATATACGCCACCCACTCGACGGAGTTATAGACCAGGTAGTCGGAATCTGTTTCCTCGTCATACCAGCTCTTGATGGCACCCCCTTGTTTGATGATCTCGTTGATCTCGTAGTTGGAGATGTAGCCACCGGTCTCGGTACAACGGCCGGGCTTTGCAGGCGAATCATTCCTCTCGCCGAGATAAGTACCTGTTCATGGGTGAGCTATTAAATCACATCCTCGGTAGAAGGGCCTGATGGAAAGAGAACATACACAATGGGCCGCGGCAGGTCGCGTCAGCCATCTTGAACGACCTCCCGTAACTAGTCACGCCCACGACGATCTTGTGCGATGGGACGCCGGCTTTGGTCATCATCACTAGGGAGCCGTGCGTCTGCGTGGAGTTAATATGGGACCGAAGACAGTTGCCGGCTGGACATCCGTCCATCGACCATTCCCTGCCAACATCCCATTGGACAATGATTTGTGCGGACACGAGCAAAAAGCTCTTTTGTCGTGCCTATCTTGCCCTACCCTAGTTTTTTAGTATGTTTTAGTAAGTCCCTACTCTCTAGTAAGTCCCTAATTTCCGGTGTGAATACCTGTCCGTTCACGGGAGTGTTGATTACTTCTGGAGGAAATGTTTTGCTGTCTACAATGGTTGCCTGTGTTTTGGACACCGCTTAGCTTGTCGCAAGACCCACGTTCCTAGGATCATATCCGACCCTGGGATCTATATCATGGCTCCTAGGCATGCTTTTGCTCGTTCCTAGGAGTCAGAATCATAGTTCCCAGAGGATCTATAACTCCTGGGAGCGAACTACATAGCTCCGGGGAACTAGAGTGGGTCCTTTGGGGTTTAGCATTTAGCAAGGAACTCACTGGAGAGTAGGGACTTACTAGAGAGTAGGGACATACCGGAGAGTAGGGACACACCGGAGAGTAGGGACACACCGGAGAGTAGGGACTTAAAAACAGTTTACCCCTCAGACACACACACACACACACACACTTTGTTTGTTGGCCCGTACCCGAAACAAGCTCAACCCTTATTAGGACAAGTGGTAAGATATTGTCCACTTATTGATGGCCTTAGTTAACGGGTTAGCTGTATCCGGCATAGTGTTGTCTCGGATACGAGACGACAAGTAAAGTGTGTGTCTCTGAGGGGTAAATTGTTTTCGAAAATCGATGTATAATATTTATGATATTCGGTAATGATCTGGTTGTGAGTAAAGAGGTGGCGGATTTGGTTGAACGGCACTCTATAGTAATTACGATAGATAGATTGACAAAGAGCTGGTAGTATGCTATAAGGAGGCAATCAAGATCTAGATCAAAATATTTATAACCCATATAGACTGCAGTTAGAAGCCTGAGGGCTTCTGTGATTACGAAGCCAGACTAGCTATCAGTTGACAGATGGAAAGCCTACCTAGACTGGTAGCTGTGGACGTATGTCCAATATGGATCTGTGTCCACGGCTGTCGGTACTGGGTCTGGAGTTAATTGTGTTAGATCATGGGACCTAGGACCAAAGGCTGTGTGGCCATAGCTTCCTAAATGCATACCCCTCTCTCTAGGCCTGGGACCTGACTGGACATGATTCTACGGATTTCTTTCAAAATTGGCTCCATGTTACTCGATATGTGTCTAATTTGGATAGCGATTTATAGAGGTCGGGAGACGCTGTTCTTAGATCTCCATGGGCCTCAAAGCACCCCGCAGCAGGTTAACAGATCTCCTGACATAAAGATTTATGTCGTGGGAAATGACATTACAAAGAATCCCATAGTTGTGTTTACACTAGAATGTTTGGACTAGGAGAGAGGTAGTACAAAGAGCCAGTCCATATGACGTGCAGCTTTCCGTGTTGTCTGTGCTCTTCAGCTGACTCTACTGTGGCTGATTTCCTCTTAAGAGGATTCTTCCATGAGCTAAGCCCTCTCGAAAGAAATCTCTTATTTTCTGTCTTCCAAGCTATTCTTTCTCTTGGAATGGGCTATCTAGAACTTGTCTTTTGTCTATGTTCTTTTATTTTACCACTTCCAGTATCCGCTACATAGCTATGTCATAGGTACAAAAACAGCTTTTTATCCCAGTACCACTCCTGTTAGATTTCTCCCAGCGTGTCATGCATCTTATCTGCAGTACGCTCTTATCGCAAGCCACATAGGTCAATTCAGGATCTGAAAGGAGTATCTCATGATCGCTTAGGATCCATTTCAACCTTCACCTGGTCTAATACTCGAGATGCCATCTGTAGGAGTTCCTTCTTCTTTATAACTCGATCCTCAACCCCTACAGTGAGTCCCTACTATCCGATGTGTCCCTATGCATGCCACCTTATTTGCAATTTCCTGGAAAGACATAAATCTTTCCTAGTCCGGGTTGCTCCTAGTCTCTACATCTGTATTCCTCTATTTCTGATACCCTACCTCTGGGAAAGATTTTTTTAATTCCGGGGAGACTTCGTGACCCCAGGATTCGTACTCAAGGGTCCAGGACCATAAGTAAAAAGTGCGGGTGACCCTACTGATCTACTGGCATCGATAGCCTAGGGGACATACTCTAGTTCCCAGGGCTGTCCAGTTCATACCCAGGAGCTGTAGGTCCTCCTGGGAACTCTGAGTCTGACTCCTGGGAGCGACCAAGAGCGTGTCTAGGAGCCATGTTATGGATCCTAGGGCCGGGTGTGACCCTAGGAGTGTGAGTCTTCAAGATAATAAGTGGGATCTAAAACGCAGGCAATAAGTGCGGCCAGCAAAACAATTGCTCCCCGGAGTAATCAGCGCTCCCGTGAATGAACGGGTGTGGCTCCAGGATCCAAGGTAGAGAGCCCAGGAACAATCCGGCGTCTCGCTTCCACGACCTGTCACAACAGTTCCTGGAGGATATTGAGCTCCCAGAGGCCGTGAGCATGATCCTAGGAGCGACATATGTAGCTCCCTAACTCAATATATCGTATTTTAATCGAAGGAAACAGCTAGCTGGTTTTAGACCAAAAAAAGACATGCGAACGTAACTAAGTGCGGTGGCGATGAAGAATTAAGAGGCTGCTTATCTTCGATGGCGTTAGGGGCCGATTCAAAGTGTTCGAGCTCTTGTCATGGAGAGTGAGAAAACGGATGACTTTCAAGAAATGTTACTGTGGAAATCGGGTGTGTTGGACGTGTGTGACCATTGCACACGACGACCTCGAAAAACGTTTATATTGTGACAGAAATCTGTCTATATTGAAATGTATGGGCACCACGGCTGATATTGAGAACTCTAACTTTCTAAAAAGACAAAACCCGCTATTTCAACAATCTGTGCGGTAATGATGACTAATGGTAATATGCACTTTTGTATGGTATATCCAGTACTCGAAGTCACATGATCTCTATGGTATAATACCATGTGAATCCACGTATGCAACCCTGCACTTTGACATATTGTCCTGTAAACGGGATCACATGCGGCCCCACATGGCCGTCACGTGATCTCCAACATTAGTACTCATCGGTTTAAGCCGGATATATAGGCGTAGGTACTATAGAGAAGAATAGAATAAAGACTAGGGTAGGAAATTTATATTATAGGAAACAATAAAGTCGAGGTCGTCTCGAGGTATAGGCAACGAGGATAAGAGAATAAGAGGTATAAGGATACCGGAGGGGAGGGAAGGCGAAGTATATTATAGGCGCTTAAATAGACCGGGCGAAAAGGGAGGGGACTTGAATTCAGCTGAAAGGGAGCTATTTTCGGCGTCGTTTTGGTTGTTAGTAGAAACGAGGGGAAAAACCGTATAAGTCGAGCGTTAATATTAGGACCGGAGGATGACTAACGCTGCTAGGCGGGTATAGAATAATGGTGTTATAGGGCAGTGGGCGGTTAAGGGGCGGCTGGACGTCCAAAGTTACGGGTGGAAAGGCAGCCGTTTCTGGCCTCAAAAGCGGTCATTTTCGGCGTCAATCCCACAGGTCCTCATATTCTATGTGTAAAAGTACAATGTTTACTCTTATCCATGGATTCCTCTACGCCACAGGAATCCATTCAGACACGACACAACATATAACCCCGAAGGGCCACTCAGATGTTTGTAAGTACTATTAAAATTAAATGAAGTATTGCAAAGAAACATACACATAAAGCCATGTCCGAATCAAAACCCCTCCTGTTTCAATCCAGAGTTGAAAACAAAAAGCAATCACATCGAAGTTACTGCCTCCTCGGCATATGAAACATCTGAGCTGTTCAATTGCATTTCCTTGGTTCCAAAGCCCGTCGATTGAAGATTTCCCTGTTGAGATTTCTCCGGTTTGAAATCCCCCTGTCGCAAACCCTTGGCTTTGAGCACTTCAATCCCGGGGTCAATATCCCGAACTCCCCATACAGACCGGCGGGGTGTCTTGATTCCAGTCTGCAAATAGACATCTAGTTCGTCGACATAGTCATATGCAGCCTTTCCAGTAATGGCGAGCCTCTCATAAGAGTCAACTCCTCCTAAGCGCCACTCAGGCAAAGGCTTGGGCGAATCTCCAAGATCATAGACATAACCAGGACGGCCCTTCACGTCAGCCGCCTTTCGGCGGGTAAACTTGACATCAGGCCCAATCGGCGTGTAGTCCTTGAGCTGCTTCTCCCTAAATCCCACCACTGGATGGACAAATTCAAACGTCTCTCCCAGCAGATTTCCATCTTTGTCAAAAGGATCATACCCTCCAGGCGTGCGCCTTTCTGACCCGTTGACGTAATAAAATGGCGTGAAGCTGTCTTTCAATGGGCCTGTTCCCCAGCCATAGCTGCGTCTCTTGTCCACAGACTTAACGGAAGATATGGGAGGGCGTTTGAGTTTAAAACCCGAAGCTATTGCTGCGAGCTTGCGCTGGACCCAATTTCCCAAGGACACCTCATGGACTGTGTCTTCGGCAAGCGTTGACATATGGTATTCCATCTCTTCTCTTTCCTCAGAGATAGACTTCTCGTTGAGCGATAGGTAAGGTTTGATTTGGTCCAGCATCCAGGAGAAGGTGATATTAGACATTTCTTCCATGTCCCCCTCATCTCTAAGGGTTTCTCCCGAGCCTCCGCCGATATTAATGTGATAACCGGGGAACCACACTTGTGTCAGTGTGCGGGGGTTGTCTTGGTGCTTGTGGTCGTCTTGCAACTTTAGGAGCTTTCGGGTCTCCTGGTTTAAGGCTCTGGCGGCCTGGTTTAGCTTTCGAGCTGCATTGTTGACGTCTGCGTCGCTAGCTCTCCCGCTACCCTTGAGACGGATTGCTTCTTGCAAGAGGTCATCCCAATTTTGAGCTTGCTGGTCGACCATCTTCCTCTGGGTTTGTATCTGCTCTAAAGTGACGTTTCCAAGTTTATGGAGATACCATAGAG